GGGAAGAAAAACAACATGTGTTGAGCATCTGTCATATACCAGACATGGCCTTTGAGCTTTATTAATATAATAAATGTATTATTTTAGTTGAGTCTCAAAATTGCTGTGTAAAACAGGAATTATTATCCTCCTTTTACAGATAAGGAAGTTGACGCTCAGAGATATTTAATAAATAATCTGAGCTCTTTCCACCAGTGGGTGATAGGACCCAGAGTTGAACACAGGTATCTTTGTTTCTCAGATCCATTCACACTGTTGCTTAGAACAAAGGTCCTAAGGCACAGGTGGTCCTGAGCAGAGGCACTAGGCCAGTCCCTCTGATATATATTCCCATAATGCAACACAAAATGCAACCATTGCCATGGAGTTGGATCCGACTCATAGAAACCCCTCCTTGGGTTTCTGAGGCAGCATCACTATAGAAGTAGATTGCCCAACCTTCCTTCTGGGGAGAGGCTGGTACCTAACCACTAGCCTTCTGGTTAGCAGTCAAGTGCCTTAGGCACTACACCACCAGAGCTTCTGCCTGATTTTCACAGATAGTGACAGTCATCCCACTTGTAATTGATTTCTTTTCCCTTTCAACTGCAAGATCCATGTGAGCAGGGCCATATCTATCTTGTTCAATGCTGTATTCCTAGTGTCCAGAAGTATTTGAAAGAATGAATGCATACCAACAGAGGCCTCTTGTTATAATATTTCTACTACTACTCACTGCCATCAAGTTGATTCTGACTCATAACTAACTCCATTGGGTTTCTGAGGCTGTAAATCTTTACAGAAGTAAATCACCCCATCTTCCTTCTGTAGAGCAGCTGCTGAGTTATGAACCACTGACCTCCTGGCTAGCAGCCAAATGCCTTATCCACTACAACACCAATAGGAGATGTTAAAAAGAGGATAACCAGTATCTTATTGGAATGTTATAGGGAGATTCTTGTATTTGACCGACCAACCCTAGCAACCCACTGCTATCAAGCTGATTCCAAGTCATGGTGACCTTATAGGACAGAGGAGAACTGTCTCATAGGGTTTCCAGAGCTGTACATCTTTTTTTTTTTTTACAAAAGCAGACTGCCTCATCTTTCTCCCATGAAGTGCTGGTGGGTTTGACCTGCTGAAATTTTGGTTAGCAGCCAAGTGCTTTGACCACTACTCCACCAGTGCTTCTTTGTGTTTTACCAGGGATGGATTATCTGTGGTTTTAATCCACTGCATAGCCTTAGAATCGTCTGAAAGATTTTTATATAAACTTCTAGGCCCACATCAGACCCCCAGAGTCAGATGCTCCAAGAGGAGGTCCTGGGAATCTGTATTTTGCATCACTCCCTGAGAGATTCTGCCATACAGCCAGGTTAGGAAGCCCTATCTCGAGGAGTGTGAAGTCTAGCCTGTGGTGCTGGGTTCTCTAACTCCACATTGTTTGTTTCTGAGGCTCTTGGATAATACCCCCCTCTTCCTGCCACCTGTATCCAAGACTCCCTGCTTGCTGAGATTCAAGGCTAGGCCCTGTGTGTGTGCCTGGAGCATGGAGGGAGGTCTGGGGCCCAGGCAGAAACCAGGCCTTATCAGCTAGATATTTACTGAGCAAAGTTCAGCCAGGACAATGCTGCAGATCCGGGATTAACAAGCTTCCGGACCTTTGATTCTGAGCCCAAGTCCCTGGGGTTCGTTATCAGTGGATGATAATGCACTCTCCATGTGAGTCCAAAGGGACAGTACTCCTTGCCACTTCTGGCAGAGCAGGCCTGTCCTCAAGGGCCCAGGACCCATGGTCTGTGGGCAATCTGGGTAGGCAGATGGTCACTGCCCAGCCATGAATACTTTTGGTTTGCTCTCCCTGGCCAAGAAGGGCCCTATGTTATAGACTCATATTTGGGTCTTTGTTCTGATTTCCTGTCTTTGAGCATAAAAAGCAGAAGGAGCCTTCTCTCTCAATAGCAAGACTGGATACCTCTTGGCCCTATGACACATGGATCATCATTGGATATTAGTCCTATATCCTGGGAACTACAAAGAACCTGGGAGCCACCCACTTTACCCTAGTGTAAAGGTCTAGAAGTAATGGAGTGAAGAGGAATGGTTGGCATATTTTAATAATCAGTCAGTCAATTAATCAACTGAGCTTATTATGGACATACAACTTGGGAAGATACAGGGAAATAAGATGCAATATATCACATTGAGAAGTTTATAATTTTGTTAGGAACCTAGGAAATTTACACCAAAAAGGACAACTAATTGTTACATGGTGTCCCTGGATGACATAAATAGTTAATGTGCATGGTTTGAGTCCACCCAAGGGTGTCTCGAGAGAAAGCCTTGGCAATCTACTTCAGAAGAATCAGCCACTAATAATTCTATAGCACAGTTCTACTTTGACACACATAGGTTTGTCATTATTTGGGATCGACTTGGTGACAACTGGTAGTTGTTACATAGCAGAGTATGATAAATACCTTAGAATTTCATTGAATGCTTACTCTGTACTTAATTTTTTACTAAATACATAATTCACATTTACTCTGCCAGTGACTCTGCACAACATTCCTTTGATAAAGAAATTGCAGATTAAGAGGCACAGAGAACTTGCTCAGAACCACACTGCTGGACTGTAGCAGGAGCAGGATTTGAGCAGTGTGACATTTGACTCAGAACCTCTGCTCTTACCACCATCCTCTTTTGGTCATCTCTGATGACAAGATCTGTAAGTCTATAAGTGTGTGAGAGGTCATAGGATGAAATATGTACTTTGGGCTGAGTGGTCAGTTAGGAAGGTCAAGCTTGTCTTGGGTCAGGAAGAATTTGGAGGCTGAGAAATGTGTGAAAGAATTCTGATCATGGGAAATCCCAAGTCAAGATGAGGAGGTGAGGGCATACAAGAAATATTTAGAGAAGTATAGGTAGAGCTTTTGGCTGGAGTCAGGTATATGTAGTGGTTAATATGCAAAGGGCTTCCCCTGGGTTGTACAAATGGTTAAGCACTTGGCTGCTAACCAAAATATTGGAGATTTGAGTCTACACAGACCGAAATTGGAAGAAAAATCTGGTGATCTACATATGAAAAATCAGCTATTGAAAACCCTATGGAGCACAGTTCTACTCTTGACACACATGGGGTCATCATGACTTGGAATCAACTCAATGGCAACTGATCGATTTGCTTTAGTATGCAAAGTAGTTAGAAAAATGGATTAAGATCACATTGTGGAGGACTTCGCTGGTCCAGTGTCTAAGGCAGTTGATTGCTAGCTGGAAGGTTGGCAATTCAAACCCTTCAGCCCTCTGTGGAAGAAACATGGGGCAATCTACTTCTGTAAAGATTTACCACCTTGAAGAGAAGGGCAATATACCAAATGTGAGTGATCAACACGGTGGCATCGAGGAAGAGAAAGACATAGAGAGGTGCATGGGAGGTACAGACAACAAAAAGGAACACTTTTGCACATACAGTACTGCATTCTCAGTGAAGGCAAACATTGATATATGGGTAGATAGATGGGTGGACAGACTGAACTATTGAGTATGTGTATGTAAGAGGTGGGGGAGCTCTGGTGGCGTACAGCCTAAGGTGTCTGACTGCTAACCAGAAGACTGGCTGTTCAAACCCACCAGCTGCTCCTTGGAAGGAAGGTGGGCAATATACTTCCATAGTTATAATGCATCGGAAACCCAAGGAGGGGTCGCTATGAGTCGGACCTGACTCAACAGCAGTGCGTTATGCAAGGGGGAGTGTGCCTATGACCATGTACAAGGTTGGCAGACAATGTTTCTACAAGTGTATTTGTATGTTCTGTAAAAATTCCCAGGTATATAGTAGAGCTGATGGGGGATGGGTTTGTGGTCACTTCTTAGCCGCAGCCAGCAACCCATGGGGAGTGAGTGGTTGGGCCTATGGGCTTGGGACCATGGTCACAGGGGATATCAAGCTCAGTTGGCATAACATACTACACAAAAACATTGTTCCACATCCCACTTTGGTGAGGAGTGAATGGGGTCTTAAAAGATTGCCAGCGGCCATCTAGATGCAACTGTGGGTCTCTCCTCATCTACACCAAAGAAGAAAGAAAGAAACCAGGGACATGTCGAAATAATTGGTCCAGGTGACTTGTATACCATGAAATCCTCAGCCTATACAACTAGACCAGAGGAACTATGTGGTGCCCGGCTACCACTATCAACCACTCAGAGGGGAATGAATCTGTGTAGGAGATCCTGGATAAAGTGGGAGAACAATGTGGAACAAAACTAAAAAATCATAAAAAGAAAAAAAAAAAAAAAAAAGGGACCATGTTTGTTGGTCTGATAGAGCCTGATGGAACCCCCAAGACTGTGGCCCCTAGCTGCCCTTCATGTCTGGAATTGAACCCACTCCTGTGGCTGCCAGCCAAACAAAAGATAAGCATATGAGCCAAACATTTACATTAGGTAGATACACTCCTTGGAGAGATCAATCAGGGAGAATAGAAGGACTATGTATGCACAGGGAGATGGCTCAGGAGGCAGGAGTGCATGGGAGGGAAGGATGCAGGGAAGAGGTAACTATGGGGAGGAAGTGGAAAAGGAGCTGTTGCATTATGGGAAATTGCAGTCAATGTCATGAGACAAAGTGTATGTGAGCTGCTATATGGAAGATGAATTTGTTTTGTAAACTTTCACCCAAATCACAATAAAAATTGAAGGGAAAAAAAAAAAAAAAAGACTTACCACCTCAGAAACCCAATGGGGGTCTGTCAGACTTGATGGCAGTGAATTTGGTTTTGGTTTTGATTCTAGACTAAGAGGTAGGTCTTAATCCTCTGGGTGGAGAGAAGCCATAGAACGTTTTGGGGCAAAACAAGACTTGGGGAAATAGTTTAGGAAATCTGATCTGCCTTCTCAAGTAGCCTTCCATGTTCAAGCACAACTTAATGAGTAGATAGATCCTTGAGGGGAGAGGGCACTTCGGGATGGGGCTTCTCTGAGAAGATAGATGAGCACCAGTGACATTGTTTTCATAGCTCCTGTTCCAGATCAATCCCCAGCCCCACCTCGGCCATATCAAGGTGTTCGCGTGAAGGAGCCTGTGAAGGAGCTGCTGAGGAGGAAACGTGGGCATACCAGCAGCGGGGCAGCAGTCACACCTACTGCGGTGAGAAGGCCTCTGTGGCCAGTGTGTGTATGTGTGTGCATGCCATAGGGGGCCCAGCAAGTGTACTCTCTTGATCCATAGGGGCATGGTAGGCAGCAAGTTGCCATGGTGATGGCTGCAGGAGGATGGGCCTAGGATAGGAAAATTGGATGGTCCTTAAAGTGGAATGAGGAATGTGGCTTGGTGCCTTGGTCCATTGACCCTGTTGCCAGGGCCTCAGTGAGTGAATGACTCATACTTCCTGGTGCCCTCATTAGGGACTACCCCAGGAAGAGGTAGATACCAGCTCCCTAAATGCACAGCCTTCTTGTTAAATGGAAACACAAACCCCTCCAAAGTGTAGTTGGTGATAGTTGGGGTGTAGGGTGGGGTTTTTGATCCAACAAAGGAGATCCTTTCCCTATGATCTCCTGCTTTTGGGCACTCTGGGACATTACCTGCATAGGGCTAATTGGAGATGGCTAAGCAATAATCCTGGTCTCTTTTTGTCCTCTCTAGGTGGTGCTACCCCATCAGCCCCTGGCAACTTACACCACAGTGGGTAAGAACTCCCCATAGCCCTGATCTCCTCCAGACCCCTCATCTGGGGTAGCACCTGCAGTTCTGGAATTTCCTTCTTCCCACAGGTCCTTCCTGCCTTGACATGGAAGTCTCTGCTTCCACAGTGACTGAGGAAGGGGCTCTGTGTGCTGGCTGGCTCTCCCAGCCTGCCCCAGCCACCCTCCAGCCTTTGACCCCATGGACACCCTATACTGAGTATGTGTCCCATGAAGCTGTCAGCTGTCCCTACTCAGCTGACATGTATGTGCAACCCATGTGCCCCAGCTACACAGTTGTGGGACCCTCCTCGGTGCTGACCTATGCCTCCCAGCCACTCATCACCAACGTCACGGTATGTCACACAACAACAGAACGGTACTTATCCATGCTGAGGGCTTACCTTCCTGACCCCTGATCTACCTAATTTCCAAGGTAGTTGTAGGTTATCTAAGTCCACCCCACCCTTGAGGGAGGCTGTCTCTTATTCCCACTGACCTAAAAGATATTCCTGGAAGAAGGCTTATGGCCTCCCTCGTCATGCCTTAAGCTCCTTGGCATTGGGAAGTTCTGCCTTTCTGTCCTAATTCTCCCCTGCTGATACTTGTTGCGAGTATAAAGTTTTTAGTGATGGGGGATCTGCTCGGGTTCTCTTGGCAGAGTCATCTTTCCCCTTGTATTCAGACCACTTACGGAGTATTGTTCCTTTGACAGTGGAATTTGAATTTATAAAAAGATGTCTAGTCTGAGCAACAGACATGTAACTTTTCAGAAAACTGTACTTTCGATGAAGTCAGACCCATCTGTACCATATATATATTTTAAATTTCTGTCTCTAAGGAAGGTTGGGCAATCCTACTTCCGTAGTGATACTGCCTCGGAAACCCAAGGAGGGGTTGCTATGAGTCGGGGCTGACTCGATGGCAAATAACAACAACAACAACAAAAGGTCAGATTGCCTGGGTTAAAATCCCCACCTGTTCACTTACTAGGTATGAGACCCTGGACTAGTTACTTAGCCTCTCTGAGCCTCAATGTCTTCAACTGTAAAATGAGAATACTAACAAAAGGGTTGTTGTCAGGATCAAAGGAGATCATGTATTTGAGGGCTTAGCTTAAATCCTAGTATACAGAAAGTACTCAATAAATGTTAGCTATTATGGTTGTTTCAAAGTCTGCCAACAACATGAACCAAGGACTGCTTTCAGGTGCCAGATAAGAAATAAAGGTCTGGTCCCCCAATAAATGAGGGAAGAAAAATAGTTTGATGTGAATGGTGATTATTTTGACCAAAGGAATGGGAATCTGCCAAGTGCTCAGATGAGAAAATGCTTACGGTTACAGCTGCATCTAGCTTCTATCCAAGGAAAAGTGTGGGAGGTGGAGCTGGGGCCACAGTAGTAGCTGCAGAGCCCACCCTCAGTGGTGGAACTTGCTTTGGTTCCTTGTTTCCCTTGAGGGTCCAGTGGCATCCTGATGAAGCTGTACCCTGCATCCTAACATCAACTAGACCAGGCCCATAGGAGGCCATGCCCACTCTACTATGCAGCAAACCATGTGTCTAGGATGATGGTAGATAGGAAGGAGTTAACATTATCTCTCTTCCAGGCAACTCATTTACATATCAGGGGGCTGGCAGGGTAAGGGGTGGAAGACAGAATGGTTCCCAACCATTTAATTACTAAAGATTTTTTTTTCATTATTTATCCTTTCAATCACCCCCACACCCTGCTTTGAAAGATTTTGTGTATCAAACAAGCCGTATTCATTAAAAAATAATTTATTTGTTTTGACATTTTGTAAATTAATTCATCAAAGAAGGCTAGAGCTATCAATCAGCCCTCCTGATTAGCAGGAGATAAGACCTGTTATGGTGTTGGGCTGATGTAATTCTATCCCTGAGCAAAGAAACCTTCCGTGTAATTGACCTGTATGGGTTTTTGATTTGACAATGTAGGATTGGGATTTTTAAAAGACTAGAAACAGTAAGATCTTCCCAGATTCTCTCTGAGTTTAGGACAATAAACCAAAGAAACCAAACTCACTGCCATCGAGTCCAAGCTGACTCATAGCGACCCCTCCTTGGGTTTCTGAGGTGGTATCACTATGGAATTAGATTGCCCAACCTTCCTTCCAAGGAGACTGGGGTTAAGTCAATGGGATATAATGGGCAGAATGCTCACAGGCCTGGAAGCCAAGAACCTGGAGGTGTCTAAGACCCTTTCCATTCTACGGATAAACACCTTGCCATCTACGGTTTGGACCAATCATATGGGCAACACCTGAGATCTTATTAGCCATGCATCATCTCCGGCCCCATCTGGTACAAGAATCTGCCTTGCAACAACATCCCCTGGACATAAATAAGCTCTTATCTAAACTACTCTAGTCCATGGGTGGTGCAAATGGTTAAATGGTTGGCTGCTAAGCAAAAGGTTGGAGGATCAAGTTCACCTGAAGATGCCTCAGAAGAAATTCCTGATGACCTGCTTCTGAAAAATCAGTCACTGAAAATCCTATGGAGCGCAGCTCTGAAACACATAGGGTCTCAGTTGACTCAACTGGCAACTTGTTTGTTTTTTAATTGGCAATGACTCTCATAGTTTATTCTCAAGACACAGTGAGATTTGACAGGAGAATTTGGGCCTCTCTCATATCATTCCAAGGAGCTCTGGTGGTATAGTAGATAAGACATTCAGCTGCTAACCAAAAGGACAGCAGTTCAAACCTACCAGTTGCTGTGTGGGAGGAAGATGAGGCAATCTACTTCCATAAATATTTAAAGCCTTGGAAACCCAATGTGGGTCGCTGTGAGTCATAATTGACTCAAAGGTAGTGGGTTTGGTATGTTTTTTTTAATATCATTCCACGCAGAGAACTTTGTCTCCCACCTACTTCCTTGTGAAGCAGGCCCTGGTTCTTCACAGGCTTAACTTGGTATTGTGGGAGTAGTTCCTGTACAGGTGAGAGGAATCATTCCTATACCAGTATGGGACAACCTTGACTCCTGGAGGCCCCTAGGGTGGCAGTAGGAACCCAGCTCAGAAACAGAGGAGTATGAGGATGGAAAAGACACCAGGAAGCTGTAGGAAAGGCCAGGTTTGTCTGCAAAACAGTGCTCCCTAGCCTCCGTGCAGGTCTGGTGGGGCCTCCTCTGCACAGCTCACCCCCAGAGGTGAGTGGAACTGTTTTGGCCCATGGGAATGTGGTGCTTAGGATGCCAAAGCTGCTGTGTGAATCTAGATTGTTCTTGTGTCTGGGTGGGGCAAGGCCACCTTTGTGACACTGGTGCTATGCTACATGACAGCCTAGTTGTTTAACATGCTGAATTGTCATTGATTTTAAGATGTACATTTTTTCACACTTTCCAAATTAAATTAGATCTATTATGCTCATATCAGTGAAATTATTCCTACATTCTCTCAGCCCTATGACTTCAGTACTAATTGTATCCTATTTTACAAATGAGAAAACTGAGGCTTCAGAGGGGGGAGTGGCATGAGCAGGGATGCATATTTAGTAAGTGACAGTCAGGGAGAGAGTTGAAGTTGTCTTGGCTTCTCCCTTGGAGGAGACTTTGAGCAGGCACAGGTGGAGCCCCCTGGAGTAAAGAGCAGGAAAGTGCAGAGTTGAGGGCAAAATGGAGATAGATCCCTACGGGGACGAGGACGGGTTGCCAGGTGGAGCTCCCAGGGCTGCTAACCCTTGGTCCTGTGCTTCTCCCACCACAGACGAGAAGTGCCGCTACACCCACAGTGGGGTCCCAGCTGGAGAGCCCAGAGCACCAGGCACCCCTCACTTATTTCCCATGGCCTCAGCCTCTTTCCACGCTGCCCACCTCCACCCTGCAGTACCAGCCTCCGGCCCCGGCCTTGCCTGGGCCCCAGTTTGTCCAGCTCCCCTTCTCCATCCAGGAGCCAGTCCTCCAGGACATGGAAGACCCCAGGAGAGCCATCAATTCATTGACCATCGACAAGCTGCTTTTGGAGGAAGAGGATAGTGATGCCTATCCACTCAACCACACTCTCTCTGTGGAAGGCTTTTAGGTCTGGGTCCCACCTGGAGTCCTGCTCCCTGAAACAGGGATTTAAAAATGAGTCTGAGGTTGAGCTGCAGAGTCACATCTGTCTAAAGCAGCCATTCCATAACTACACTTTCTAGCAAAAAACGGGAATTGTAGACTTCTTCCCTCTCTTCATCCTCCTCTCTTCCCTTCCTCCCTCCCCTCCTTTCTCCCTTCATTCCTCTATCCCTCCTTTCCTTCACTTCCTCTTCTATTCCTTCCCCCTTTCTTCCTTCCTCTCTTTTTTCCTTTCTCCCTACCTTCCTCCCTCTTTTTTTCTTGTTTTTTTCCACTTTTGCTCCTTTTTGGGAGAGAACTGTAGGGGTTGTAGAAATGACATTTTATGTTAAGTGTTCCCAAATCTGGGACCCAAGTACTCTTGTTTCTGCCGTGGTTCAGTCCTGGGTAAACTTTTTCTCTCGAGCTCCTGCTGCTTCATCTGAGCAGCAGTCACACCCTCTGTCAATTTGAGATGTATAGTATGCCCTGTGGGAAGGTGGGCCCTGCCAGCACTCCCCAGTGAGGGCAGACCCAATGCCAGAGTCGCTCAGCTGTCAGTTCCCACAGTTGCTCCTTTGTTTGTTATCCTCAGCTTTGGCCAGATTTACAGTTTGGGCATCAAAGGTTCAAGATCTGGGACTCAGCATGGTGAGGGGTGGGTGGGGAGAGGAAAAAGGAGGGCTCAGGAGTGGAGACTTCAGTTGGGTGGAGGCAAGGTGAGTGACAGGAGAAAGGGACAGAGGATGGGTGGAAAAGAGGGTGTGGGTATTTGTGGGAGTAGAGGATATCTAGGGGAGGGCAAGCTTGGGTTTTACAGGGAAGGGAAGGCTAAAAAATAATTTAACTCCAGATTACTTGGTTATTGAGAATGACAATAAATTTGAGAAATATATTGCCTTAATAAGTGATTTTGCTGCTTTTTTTTTTTTTTTTTTGTGGGATGCTTGCAAGGAGGCTGAGCCCTTGTCTCCAGGATGAATGATGTGTTTGCCTGGCTGTCCACCTTCAGAACTTCTGCCTAATTGTCACTGGGTCCTTGCTTAGTTCTCTCACATGGGTTCCTTTAATTCCTGAAAAGCATCCACAAACCACCTCCATGCAGGAATTCCTCTTCCTGGGGCTCTAGAGCCTCAGCCAGAAGTACCATTAGGTTTCATTTCATTTTTTTTTTTTTTTTTTCTGGATAAGCATCAAATTTGTAGGTTGTGTACCTTGGAAACTGGTACTTCTCCCTACTAATAATACTGTTGTCACCATTAAACAGACACATTGGTTGATGGCGTCCATGTAGAAGTCACAGACTTTTCTGGGAAATGACATATGTTATTGGCCATTTTAAAACAAAACTTCTGGATAAATTTTTTTTTTTTTTTCCTATTTTGGTTTATTTTGACATAGATTTCTCAGTATCTGCCTTAAATCCCAGTAAAAATGATTTGAATTCTTCTTATTCAGATTCAATTTTTAGATTTAAAATCTTAAGACAGTATATGAGGTGACATATTTAAACCTCAGTTGGTAGTGATGGTGAGTAGGTAAGGAAAAGGGTGAAGGGCTATCCCAAGCCTGTTTGATTAGAAGCCATGTTTCCTGTAAAAACAGTATACAAGGCTTTCTGGCTGTTTTACTTGAAGATTTGGGAAGATAGAGCAGCACTCCCCAGAAGAAGTGTAAGTTGGCAGAAACTAGCAAAGAAATAAAGTACTTTACATATTTGCTAAGATTTATATGGTATCTTCTTTTTATCTTGAGGTCAAATGTCCTGGCTGTAGCTGTGCATCTAGATTTCTTCCTGGGCTATTATGCTAAGATAGAAACATTTTCAATAAAGACTGGCAGAGACTTTTCTGTGTGGAAGTGTTTTATTTCTTATTAAAGTAATCCCCCTTAGCTTTCAGTCCCATGTCAGGCAGTGCCATTACTAGTATCAACACTAGTCTTGTTGATTTTGCCACTTGATTTGCTGCAGGAGAAGATAAAACCAGCCCCTGCTATACCTGCAGAGTCTATGGGTGGTGCAATGGTTACCACATTCTGCTGCTAACTAAAAGGGTGGAGGTTCAAGTCTACCTACAGGAGCCTCAAAAGAAAGCCCTGGTGATCTACTTCAGAAAGATCAGCTGCTGAACACCCTCTGTAGCTCAGTTCTACTCTGATACCCGTGGGGGTTCTGACCATGAGTCGGCATTGACTCCACAGCAACTGGTTTGGTCTTTTGTTTTTGCTATGCCTGCCGTCCAGTTCTCCCAGACAGAACATGTGAGGCCAGTGGGCTTGATCCACAGGATCTTAGAAGAGGAAAGAAATCTTTTGACCCTATTGCCCTTCCTGTTACTCATGTTACGTGAGTAATTTCTCACGGTGCTGAATGTCCAGGATAAGTTCTATCATTGGTATTTCCATAAGACCCGGGGGCATGGAGCACGATATAGGGTGCTGTTCTGCAAGAAAGCTATCTCTTAGGGCCAGACAGCACAATGAGAAGGAAATTTAACAAGCTAGTCACTCTCCTCTAAGACCAATCCTTTACAGAAGTAGATTGCTTCATCTTCCTCCAGCGGAGCAGCTGGTGGGTTTGAACCACTGATGCTGTGGTTAGCAGCCAAATGCCTTACCCACAGGGCCACCAGTGCTCTTTGGGATCTACCACTGGGAGTTTTTAAAGCTCCTTGGGTGACTCCAGTATGTTGTCAAAATTGAAACCAGTGCTCTCTACCCTTTTCCCTCCAAGGTTTTACGATGATTGTCAGATCTGGATTCTCAATGCCACTTTTGTGCTCTATTTAATTAGAGTTATGTTCCTCCCAAACTAGTCAGGGTTATGGTACCTCTTCATTAGAGAATGAAAGCCCAATTGTCTCAGCCACTATAAGAGGCCTCCAAAATAGGTAGACTCAGTTCAAAGATAGCACCTAAAGTCATTTTAAATGTCTAATATCTTACAACGTAAGGATTTCTTTTTAATGTGAATTGGCCCACAAGCAAATGCAAGAATGAAGCATAAAGGAAATAACAGGACAACTATATCCCCTTTTCTCACTTGTGTACTTTATTTATTTGTTTATTTTTCACCTGTGTACTTTTAAATCTCAGTAATGGATTGACATATTCAAATATAGAGTAGGTAGGGCCAGCTGAAAGGACAATGGAGATTGTTTTGGCATTTCACATCAGTCTTACTTTTTCTCTACCCAACATTTTATTATGAAAAATTGCAGTCATACAGAAAAGTTTTAACAATGTACCATGAATACTCATATACTCCCCATCTCAATTTTACAATTAACATTTATCTCTAGTTGCTTTATTACCTACTTACCCAACATTCCACTAATCCATCCTGTATTTTGATGCATTTAGAGTAAACTGCAGACATCAGTACTCTTATCCCTAAATACTTTAGCATGTATATTATTAAACTAGTTGGAAGCTCTGGTAGCGTAGTGCCTAATGCACTTGACTGCTAACCAGAAGGCTAGTGATTCAAACCCTCCAGCCACTCCTCAGAAGGAAGTTTGGGCAATCTACTTCCGCAGTGATACTGCCTTGGAAACCCAAGGAGGGGTCTCTGTGAGTAGGGTCTGAATCAACAGCACATAACAACAACAGTATTACTAAAACTAAAAACCAAACCCACTGCCATCAAGTTGATCCTGACTTTTAGCAACTCTATAGGACAGAGTAGAACTGCCCCATAGGGTTTCCAGGGCTGAAAATCATTATGGAAGCAGACTACCTCATCTTTTTCCCTTGGAGCAACTGGTGAGTTTGAATCACTGATCTTTTGGTTAGTAGCTGAATGCTTTCACTGCTGTACCACCAGAACTCCTTTAATATTCTTTATTTTTAAATTATGAAGTAAACATTTATTTACAGTGAAACATATAAATCTTTTTAAAAATAGTATTTTATTGAGTTTTTGGCAAAAGTTTACACAAGTTAGGTTCCCATTTAACAATTTCCATGCAAATTGTTCAGTGATATTAGTTGCACTTATCATGATATGTCAACTTTCTCTTGTCAATTGTGTTCTGTTTGTTCCATTTCCAGTTTCCCTGCCCCTTTATCTTCTCATTTTTGCTTTTAAGTAATTGTTGAACTTTTGGTCTCATGCAGATGATTTTTAAGCAGTGCACTGATCTGTGGCTAATATACTTCATTTTGTGTGCCACCCTGCTATTTCATAAAAAGGTAAACTTTTTAAAAGGGGATATGTTCAGTTCTAACTTTGAAGAGTATCTAAGGGCAATTCGACCAGAAGAGCTCTTCTGGTCTCAGCAAAGCTTCTGCTCTCTACTGTTCCTGTTTTGGTTGTTGTTGCTGTTATGGGCCGTCGAGTTGGATCCGACTTGTAGCGACCCCTTCTTGGGTTTCTGAGGCTGTATCACTTCTGATTGCCCCATCTTCCTTCTGAGGAGTGGCTGGTGGGTTTGAACTGCCATCCTTCTGGTTAGCAGTCAAGTGCTTTAGGCACTACGCTATCAGAGTTCCCAAAAAAACACCTCCCAATTGACTGGTGTCAAGTGGATCACACTCCTAGTGAGCTCTCCTTGGGTTTCTGAGGAGGGCTGAGTCCAGAAAGAGACAGCCTGGTCTACCTGGCCGGGAGTGGCTGGTGGGTTTGAACCGCCAGCCTTGCATTGGGCAGGCAACTGCCTTAGGCCAGAGGCCATCCCCTGGGCCTCCTGCTTGCTTAGCTGTGTGTGTTTTTTTTTTTAAAGAATTTGAGTTCTGCTCTACATTTTTCTCCATTCTATCTGAGACCATCTATTGTGACCTCAGTCAGAATGGTCAATGATGGTAATCAGGCACCAACTAGCTCTTCTGGTCTCAGGGTAGATAAGGTTATAGTTCCTGTAGACTTACTTTTTCCTGAGCTTTTGCCTGCTTTCAAAACATACACATTTTAAGTGTACCATTCAGTGAATTTTAAAAAATTGCATGTACCTTTGTAACTAAAATCGCTATCAAGATATGAAATATTACTATTAACCCAAATGTTTTCTTCAAGGCCTTCCTAGTCAAT